ACCGCGCCAGAGGTTCAGACAGAACACAGACATACATAAAGAACATAAAGTAACTTACGGGTGAGCGAACACCGCGCCAGAGGTTCAGAAAGAACACAGACATACATAAAGAACATAAAGTAACTTACGGGTGAGCGAACACCGCGCCAGAGGTTCAGACTAATTGTTGATATTTAAAACGAACTTTTTTAGTAAGATTTTCAAACAATTTATTTATCTAATTTTGTAATAATGGCATTTTTAAATATCAGTTAATTATAGAGATAGTGACTGCGATATGAAATTGTGAAACGCGACAGTTTTGTTTTTCTGAACGGTACATTAAAGTTTCCTACTTCTCTAGTGTCATATCTATTTTTATTGCTTTTAAAAAATTCATTTAAGAAATGTGGTGGGACAAGCCCGAGTCTAATTTTTAGCATGAAGAGTAAGTTTTGGTAAATGTTAATTCTATAGACGTTTAGTGCATTTAGGAGTTTAAACAAAGGTTCAGCATGAGTGAGTTTATCTTTTTTACAGACAATTCTAATGGCATGTTTTTGATGTTGATAAAGTGATTTTAAATTAGATTTATGGGTACTGGCCCATGCTATATTACCATATGTATAATAGGTATGTATAAATGAAAAATAAAGATGTTTTAGATTTTCTTGGGATAACATTGGTCTAGCTTAGTATAGCACGCCAATGTTTTTGGTTATTTTAGTATTTGAAAAGTCAATATGGGCTTTATGGGCAATATTTTGATTAACAAGTAAGCCTAGGAATTTAGTTGTTGTGGTTCTTTTGATATTTTTGTTTTTTATTCTTAGCAATGGCAATATATTTGGTAGTTTTTTTCTTTTTTGATTTGAATGGAATAAGATGTAATTAGTTTTTTCTGTGTTTAAAGATAGTTTATTAGATTTTAGCCAAATATTAGGTTTTCGAGTTCAATATTCGTTGTTTCAAAAAGTTCTGTAATTGACGGGATTGAATAAAATAAATTAGTGTCATCTGCAAACATTATGACATCAGGTTTGTTTGAGGCTTTCGGGAGATCATTAATGTATATTAAAAACAGTAAGGGAGCTAGAATGGAACCTTGGGGAACGCCACATTTGATCTTTAGCATTTTTGAACAGATATTTTCATCAGTATTTACACATTGTTGTCTGTTTAGCAAAAAGTTTTTAAACCAGAGTAATGCAACATTTTTTACGCCATGTTTTTCCATTTTTTTGAGCAGGATTTCATGATTAACAGTATCGAATGCTTTTGATAGATCTATAAAGATTCCTAGAACAAATTCATTATTATCAAATGAGTAGTTGATAATAAGTGAGTACAAGATCTACGATTGCATGTTCGGTTGCATGTTGTTTTTGAAATCCAAACTGTTTTTTATTTAAGATGTTATTGTTTGTTAAATATATGTACAGTTTATTATAAATTATTCGTTCGAGAAGTTTTAAGAATACAGGTAGGATTGAGATTGGTCTATAGTTGTTTAGTAAATATGGTTTTCCAGTTTTATATATAGGTAAAATTTTTGCAATGTTTAATTTCTCTGGAACGGTTCATGTTATAATTGAAGATTTAAATATTTCGAAGAGGGGTTTTTTTATTATCGGAAAGATATTTATTACTACATTGCCACAAATTTCATCAATTCCTCGTGCTTTGTTAATTTTTAAAGAGTTTTTTGCATTTTCAAGTTCTTCATAGCTTAATCCATTGAGAATTAGTGCGCAATTTAGATTTGTAAGGTAATTTTCAAAGGAGTCATTTGTAGTTAAAATTTTAGACGCCATGTTTGGGCCTATATTTGCAAAGAAATTGTTGAAGTGTTCGGCAATTGAGTTTTTATCATCGTGTTCGGTTTCATTTATAATGATTCTATCTGGTAAACTATTTGTTTTTTTGTATATATTATATATATATATATATATATATATATATATATATATATATATATATATATATATATATATATATATATCCACTTTTAAAGGAGAAACAATTTTTCTTCTACATTTATATTATTATTATATTATTATATATAATTATTATATTATATATATATATATGTATATATATATATATATATATATATATATGTTTAAGGTAAATATCATTTTAATAATTACAGTGGAAAGCGATATGAGATTTAAATTATTTGCTGTACATCAAAAAATCATTACAATCATATTTATGGGAAAACGGGGCAAGATGGTGAATGGGGCAAGATGGTTTTCCATATAACAACTCAACAAAAAATCTTAAAAATGAGTGAAAACGAAACTATATTTACATCTTGTATTTTAAAACGCAAATTGTTTTTTTTATATCATTAACGCAATTTTATACGCTTAAGTTTACTTTTTGCGCATAAAAAAAAATTAGCTCGGTTTCGGTTATTCATAATCAATGGTGTCCTTCAGGTATAACTTATTTAGAATCAATTTTTTGCAACACATGTTTATTTAGTGTTACTTTAGAGTAGTTGGTAGTGTTTAAAATTTTATAAAATTAGAGATTTAAATTGCATAATAAGTAATCTTTCCCCGGTCACGTGACCAAATGACAAATTTTTGAACTTTTTAATTTAATTTTTATTTCAAACTTTCAAATTGCAAACTAAAAATTCATGCAGGCAATTAATAATTAAGATAACATAGGCATACTGATAAAGTATTATTGCTTCATGACGGATAGTTTTGAGATAATTCAGGCCATTCAAAACGTTCGCCATCTTGCCTTGTCTTCCTCTACAATGTGATTGTATAGATGACATTTAGATTTTTTTTTTCAACATCTTTGCTTCCAACAAGGCTGCTAGCAACCATGATCAGAGTTGGAAGTTACTGGAAGAAAAAAGATGAAGTTTATAGAGCAAGATAACGATTGGCAGACAATTTAAAAGATTTAAAATTATATGAATCAGGAAAACAAGATGAAGAGAGCAAATTCCAAAAACATGATGTTTGAGGAAAAAAACTAGACAAATAAGAATTTTTGGAGCACTTAGGAATTGTCACATTAAAAGAATGAGACATAATTGAATGACGAGTGATACGAGAATGAATTCTAGTAGATGGCACAAGAGACGCTAGCTCTCTAGAGCAGTGCCCAATATAGTATTTGTAGAAAGGAACAAGAGACGCAGCATTACGATGATGCGGTAGTTGGAGGTTGGCTGCAAGAGCAGGTTTAACTATGTTTATAATGCATTTTTGCACCTTGTTTAAAAGAGAAAGAGCATCATTGGAAGATCAGCCCCAGATATGGTAATTGTATTCCATAAAAAAACTGATTTGAGATTTATAGAGATAAAAAGAATAAGAATCTAGAGTAAGAAAGTTTTTGAAGCTTCACAACATACTTTTGTCCCAGGGCCCAGAGCTTGGAGCTGACCTGTATGAAAGTATTTATGAAAATTACAAGCATCGAGTAAACAAAATAATAAAAAAAAATTAATGAAATAATAATCAAAAGTTTAATTATGTATAAATAATGCTATGAATTAGATAAAACTTTAAGAGAGTAAACATAATACTTGTTAATACTTATAACATACTATTGTTATTATAATAGTACATACTATTGTTATTAATTAACAAACAAAATTTAAAGATTGAAAAGTTAAGTCGAATGAAAAGATAGGAGATTTTAACGACTAAATCGACTTTTAATCGATTAGTAGTCCATAGTCGACTAAATCGACTGAACGATTTTTTAAAGTCGACTTATTTCGACTAGCCAGCTTTTAGTCTATTTAGTTGAAACAACACTAATTATAGTATTATTATTCCGCATGACAAAAACATTAATGTTTTTAAGGCCATTTAAAAGCCTTAAAAAAATCGCAAAGTACCGAATTCTCGATAATTAGGTGTTCGTCGTTAAAAGAAATGACAAAATTTCCGATTTTATAGCTAACCATTTAAATCATTTTATGGGACAATAGTAGAATACAATATCAATAATTTACAGGTTATAGTTTACTAGAAAAATTGTGCTTAATGATTTTGACAACTACTTTTTAAAATATTCATCTTTTAGGTAAAAGACAATTTACGACAATCCTCACTTTGTCGTCAATAGTTTTTTTTTTTTCATTTTGGACAACTTTTGCTAAGTATTACTCAGTTCAACCAACAATTTATGAAAACCAGTCTGTTTTAAATGAAATATATAGAAGGTCAGTCAAACTACTATAAAAATTTGGACTAGCCTTAAACCGCCTGAGTAAAAGAAAGTTTGTGCAGCTTTAAATTAAAAAAACTGAATAATGGATTGTCTCATCTTTCCCACAGACCGTGTGTCTAAAATATAAAGTTTTACCTTAAAAACCAAGTTAACTTAATTTTTCTTTTTGGGAAACGATTGATAAATTTCTTCCAAAAAATAATAAGGGCAAAACTAGTACGTGTAATTATTTATTAAAACCAAGGCATCTATGAAATTGCGCTAAGAAACCCATTAAAAAGTATATCTTCACTAAGTCACAAAAAAACTAATTTAAGTTATAATTAATAATTTTCATAAAACAAATTAAGCATTCCAAAAAACAATGATATTTACCTTCAGAAAGGAATAAAGAAAACTTACTCATCTTCCAATTACTGCTCCTAATTACCCTAAATTACTTAATATTAGCAAAACAAAATAAAATAAAATAAAAAAAATCGCATGAACTGAAATTAGAGAAGATACAAATAAGTGTCTCATTTTTTTTGCTGTCTCGTTTTGCCCTATATTACCCTAATATTTTTGAAAGCTTTTTTGCCGGGGTCCGTTCCTTCAATTGAGGAGTTTTTTCTTCATCAAAAATTTCAAAACATTTTGTTTTGAATGTCATGTTGGCCATATTAAATAATTAACTACTTAAGCATAAAAGTTTTTTTAGATTTTATATTTCTTTAATTTAACAATTTTTACAAAACCACCTAACAATTACGCGTTTTTTTTTTAAACCGTCGACTTACAATAAAATAAATAACAATGAAAATAATAAATTATTTTTACTTGAAATTTTATCAACAACTTTATTATAACACTTTAAATTAAAAACCTGTAAATTTACAAAAAGTATAGGAGCAAATATAGCGAACAAATTGTTGTCTTCACATCAGACACTACTTTTATGCCATATTAATAAGAGTTTTTAGGAAATGTTGGATATAGTTGGTATGGTATATAGTTATTTTAAGAATTATTTAAACTCCACCAGGGGCTGGTAGTTGAGCGACATAACACCTCATATTAAACATTTCATTAAGAGCTGGAAGTAATAAGTTGCGAACTTGACTCATCTCCATCCATGTCAAATTATTTATCTGTTAAATATATACAAAAATATATCAAAATGTAATTTCTCATGAAAAGGTTAATGTAAAAACGTACAAGAAGGTATTTCTATGACTAAGTAATGGCAAATGTTTGATAAAAAACGTTATTAATAATATTCACGCTTAGTTGTACTAATTATGCTAAATGTACTAATTATGCTTATATGTATTAATTATGATTATATGTACTAGGTGGATAATTTTAAAGATCAAGAAAAAAAAATGTCCTAAAATACTAATTTGATAACTTGATAAAAATCAAGAAAAGTAACAATATTAATCATATATAAAATCAAGAAAAGTAACAATATTTAAAAAGGAACAGTATTTAAAACAAAATTTACTTCAGCATGGGTTTCTTGGCTTAAGATCATTTGATCAACTGACTTCCTTAATTTTGCCATTCGTACATCCCATATATCTTTAATTAATCTTCTTACTTCGTCTGCTTTAGGAATATCTTCAGGTGCTCTGTCAAAAAATAAACGGAAAACATAATAATCTTACATAATAATCAATTAAACCAATTAAATAGCACAGTAATTACATAATAAAATTTAATAAATTTTATTTAGGACAAGTAGAACACTTCAACAATTGGTACAAAAGAATGTTAATGCAAAGAACTGTACAAAGAGAATTTAATTAATGCAAAGAATGAGAAGTCATATAATGCAAAGAAGGGTATAATTAAAATTAAATAATCTAAAGAATGTTACGAAGAAATATAATTAATGCAAAGAATAATTCAAAGAGAATTAAACATTGGTGCAAAAAAACATAACTTGTGCAACTTTTTCGAGCACCAAATTTGATCAAAATTTAGTCTTTTTTTAAAAAAAAAAAAGATTAACGCGAACATTTGCAGCTAGCTTGCAGATAAAACTTTGAGTTTAGAACTAAAAGTTTTCAAGTGCAAAAGCTTTATATAGTTTTGTTACTTTAACGATATACATTAACATTAAAGTAGAAAAAAATTATTATTAGAATAGATAAAATTTATGAAAATATGAAATTTTTACTGAAATATCAAGTATGAAGCCTCCTTACTGGAAGGTTAAGTATGATACCTTCTTACTGGGAGGTCAGGTATGAAGCCTCCTTACTGGGAGGTTAAGTATGAAGCCTCCTTACTGGAAGGTTAAGTATGATACCTTCTTACTGGGAGATCAAGTATGAAGCCTCCTTACTGGAAGGTTAAGTATGAAGCCTCCTTACTGGAAGGTTAAGTATGATACCTTCTTACTGGGAGGTCAGGTATGAAGCCTCCTTACTGGGAGGTTAAGTATGAAGCCTCCTTACTGGAAGGTTAAGTATGATACCTTCTTACTGGGAGGTCAGGTATGAAGCCTCCTTACTGGAAGGTTAAGTATGATACCTTCTTACTGGGAGGTCAGGTATGAAGCCTCCTTACTGGAAGGTTAAGTATGATACCTTCTTACTGGGAGGTCAAGTATAAAGCCTCCTTACTGGAAGGTTAAGTATGAAGCCTCCTTACTGGAAGGTTAAGTATGATACCTTCTTACTGGGAGGTCAGGTATGAAGCCTCCTTACTGGGAGGTTAAGTATGAAGCCTCCTTACTGGAAGGTTAAGTATGATACCTTCTTACTGGGAGGTCAGGTATGAAGCCTCCTTACTGGAAGGTTAAGTATGATACCTTCTTACTGGGAGGTCAAGTATGAAGCCTCCTTACTGGAAGGCTAAGTATGAAGCCTCCTTACTGGAAGGTTAAGTATGATACCTTCTTACTGGGAGGTCAGGTATGAAGCCTCCTTACTGGGAGGTTAAGTATGAAGCCTCCTTACTGGAAGGTTAAGTATGATACCTTCTTACTGGGAGGTCAGGTATGAAGCCTCCTTACTGGAAGGTTAAGTATGATACCTTCTTACTGGGAGGTCAAGTATGATACCTTCTTACTGGGAGGTTAAGTATGAAGCCTCTATACTGGAAGGTTAAGTATGATACCTTCTTACTGGGAGGTCAAGTATGAAGCCTCCTAACTGGAAGGTTAAGTATGAAGCCTCCTTACTGGAAGGTTAAGTATGATACCTTCTTACTGGGAGGTCAAGTATGAAGCCTCCTTACTGGAAGGTTAAGTATGAAGTATTATAGGAAAAGATAAAAGTTAAAAAAATATGAAGCCTTATTGAAAGGCTAAGCATGAAGCCTTACAGGAAGGTTAAGTATCAAGGCTCCTTACTGGAAGGTTAAATAGGAGTATTATAGGAAAAGATAAAAGCTATGGAATAGTATATTACAGAATAGTCTCAAAGGTTTTAATTCAGATGTCTATTAATGATAATTAGAAGCAATTAATATTAGTTTTATCAGTAAATGAACATGTTGTATAAACAGGGTTGCCACTATAATTCTTAAAGTTTTTCCCTGAGTATTCCCTGAGTGAAGAACGTTTTTCTCTGAGTTGAACTCTTTAAGTTCCCTGAGTTTTCCCTGACTTTTTTATATTTTTTCTTGTTCATCATCGAGATTATTATTTTCCTTAATTAAACACAATCTTTATATTTGACTAAAACTTTTACAACAACACCCACAACTAGCAAACTTATTATTATATGTATTGGCAAAATATTTTTGAAAAAAAAAATTATTGTACAAAATTAAAAAAAAAAAAATTATTTCCCGTGAGTTTTTCTTGGATTTTATGAAAATTTTAGAAAATCCCTGAGTATTTCAGGTTTTCTCTGGGATTCATGCTATTTCCAGGTATTCCAGGTTTTCCAGGTTGAGTGGCAACCTGATAAAAAATACTTAAAGCTCAGAAACTGTAAAATTACAGAATACTGCTTGCTTTCATTTAAAGATTATAATGTACACTTTTTTTCAATAAAAATGTTATTTAATTTGAACAACTCAAAGTCAATACTTTGGTGCAATCTCAGAATATCTATTCTAAAAGGAATTTATAGGAATAAGTAGCAAAAATTGTTTAAAAATGATTTCATCATTAAAGATTGAGTAAATTGATCTAATGAAAAATGAAAAATAATTATTTTGGCATAAATTAATATAGTTTAAAAAACACATTTAATGACCAGTTAACAAAACATAAAAACATTGGAATTTACTAAAACAGATAAAAAAGCTTCCCATAATGTCACTCGAAGATTTAAACAGTCCACATAAATAGTTTCGCATAAGAAAACATAAACACATTCGTATTGGAGTATATAAACATTTTCTAATTACAAATCAATTAATTTGATTTAAAAATAAAAAATAAGAAAAAATTATCTTATTTGAAGTAATTTATAGAAAGAAAAAAAATTATATTACTAAAATGTTAAAATAAATTTTACGTTCTTAACAGCATTGATGATATTTCCATGTAATGTTTTGATGGAGGCTCAGTAAATACTGATTCATTGGATTCATTTTCTTTAAACTCTTGAAGCTTATCTACAAATATAGAACTAGTTCTAAAAAGATATTACAAAGCGTAAATATCATATTGTAAAGATATTAAAAAACATAAAGGATTAGACTTAATTGAATGACAAGTAACACAAGAATGAACTTTAGTAGATAGTACAAGAGACACTAGCTTGTTAGAGCAGTGCCAATTAAAGTATTTATAGAAAAAAGAAAGAAAAGCAACATGACGATGTGATAATGGTTGGAGGTCGGCTGTCAGAGCAAGTCCAACTATGTTTACAATTCGTTTTTGCACCTTGTCTAAAAGAGAAAGAGCATCATTAGAAGATCCGCCCCAGATGTGGCAACAGTATTCCATACAAGGACAGATTTGAGATTTATAGAGGTAAAGAATAGAATCCTGAGTAAGAAAGTAGTGAGCATGATAATGAGATGCATCCTTAGCAGATGCTAATTTTGCAATCAATTAATATATGGTTTCCAAGAAAGATCGGAAGTAAGAGTTAATCTTAGAAGACAAAGGGTAGTTGACTCATCAAGTACATTGGTTCATAAATATAAGAAGATCAAGATTATTTTGATTACGATTAGCTGAAAAAAATTGAGTTTTATCTGAGTTAAAGTTCATAGTTAATAGATAAGAAAGTAATGGTTACAATTGGAAATTGCAGCAGCACAATGAGAGGAAAACCATGAAGAAAAGTGAGGCTTGACTTGAAATTGTCCAGAGAGAATAAAAGATTCCATGCCAGCCTGAATCCAAGAAGTTAAGTAAGAAGCACATTTGTCAGCAGGAAGACGAAAAATTTCTACCCGAGGGTCATCATGAAGAAAATCACAGAAAGTATCCTAGTCAGTTTGAGGTAGTTGTAAGAGGTACAATGATAGAGGGATTCTGATGATGATGAAGAATGAGATAAGAGATCAAACCGAGTTCAGAAGCATCTAAGGATCAGAAACAAGTCATAAGTTGAGTAGAAAGGCAAAAGTTGTGGGCCTTAACACATGCAAGGCCACTGACACTAGAACTAAGCTATTATGTGTGATGAGCATTAAAGTTACCAACAACAACGATATTGGTTGAAGGATAAAGAGAAAGGGTCAATTTGATCAGAAATAACATAGAAAAGGGTGCAGTCTTGAGATGAAGGAGGGCAATATAGAACAAAGAGAAAGGTGAAAGAGTGTTGCTAAACGAAAACACAAAAAATAATTGTCTGTGGATTCAAACCTATTTTCCCTACAAATGGATGAATTCTTATGATGTAAATACCTAGGCTAACTATGTGACTATTGGAGTCTTTACGAATTAAAGAAAGATAGCCATCAACACTAAAATCATGAGACAGCTAAACTTAAATTAGTCTATAAAGGCCTGGTGAACTTTGCAACAAATAAAACTTAACGAAAAAAATGTTACTTTGAACACCACAAATATTAGTGAATGATTTAGAGAACTTGGTGATGATGATGGTTTTTTATGTTTTATAATTTTTGATATTTCAAACATTTTTAAATTTGTTAAAGAACTTGACTCAAAACACAGATAGTACTCAGCACACTATTTAAAAATTCAAGCAATTGCCTCATTACTATTAATAAACCCTAAGCCGTAACAAAGAGATCAAATGTAACCATGACAATGCAGACCAAAAGTACAAACAGGGATACCATTTATGCCCAACATGGCACTGTCAGTACTCTGATGTTTTACAACTGTTGATAAAATCAGCCTTTCTGAGAGCTACCACAGAGTTCAGGAAACCTGGCTATTAGCCAGCCTCAGAACCATAAAACTAAGTTTTAGAGCTGTACCCTCATTAGGAGATAATAGAATGAATTATAGATGTATAGAATTATATAGTAACAGAGATAATAGAAATCAGATTGTACTGGGTTACATGTTACCAATAGCAGGATAACCTGACCTGACCTATATACACATTACTCATTATTATCCTATTTAAAAGAGCAAATACACATTAATACCCCAATTTAAAGAACAAATACACATTATATATATATATATATATATATATATATACAAATAGTATTGCGTACTAAGGTAAGCAATCTGACGTCATACTGAAATAGCCTGCTGCTGGGGGTATAAGTACATACATCGACTGACAAATAGCCTGACTCGCAGTGGAGTGCTGCTACATCGACTGAGGGTTTGGGATAGGGTAGCAATCATTTTATTCATCATTCTTTGTTTTTTCTTCTTTTTCGAAAAAAACGGTACGGCTTAAGGTAAGCAGAAAAAGTGAGCAAATGCTTATCAAAACACGCTTTAGTAAGTGTTTATATATATATATATATATATATATATATATATATATATATATATATATATATATATATATATATATATATATATATATATATATATATATATATATATATATATATAATACCCCAATTTAAAGAACAAATACACATTATATATATATATATAATATATATAATATATATACATACATACATATATATATATATATATATATATATATATATATATATATATATATATATATATATATACACACACACACATATATATATATATATATATATATATATATATATATATATATATATATATATATATATATATATAATGTGTATTTGTTCTTTAAATTGGGGTATTAATGTGTATTTGCTCTTTTAAATAGGGTATTAATGTGAAATGTGTATATAGGTCATAAATATATATATATATATATATATATATATATATATATATATATATATATATATATATATATATATATATATATATATATATATATTATAACACACATTATATATATATAATATACACACGCATTATAAGATTTTTAATACGATTTTTAAGTAAGCGTAAGCGCCAAAACATATTTTTATACAACTCTTAATATTTTTATACAACTTTAAAACCATGCTATGATAAAATGATTTTTTTGCTTAAAAGTATTTTTAAATAGTTAAAAAAAATAGTTTTAAGTTTAGTATGTGTTTTCATAACTTTTTTTCTTTTTTTTTCTTTTCCTCTTTCTTGTTTGTAAATAATTTTTTAATAATCTAAATATTTTTTTCATTGTATAAAAGAAATATTCAAGTTTTTGCTATACTACAAGATACTACATAAATAAAAAAACATTAAATATAAATTAAGATATACCAACATCTAACCATGCTGGAGGATTTATTCTGCATTTATTTCGAAGCTTTAAATCAATTGCCATCCATATCGGAACTTCAACAGGAAGCCCAGGATTAAAAGGACCAAAATCTCCCTAAAAGTATATGAAGGAATATTAGTTATGTGCAAGAAATTTTCTTACATATCTCTTGTATTCTATGTATGAACTATCTTGTAAAACAGGATTGCACTGCTAATACTGAAGTTGCTTCTAGATATTGCTTGCACATTTATATATATATATATGTTAGGGTTAAGTAAAAAAAAAATATTTTTGAAAATTAAAATTTTTTTTTTTGATGTCTAAAGGGATTTTAAGATATACAATGAAAATATTTTTTTTATAACAGCCAGAGGGAATTTTCTGTTGTAGATTTTGAGACTAAGCCAAAATAATAATGGGTTTTTTTGTAAACTATCCTCATTTGACAAGTGTAAAATATCAAAATTTGCTTTTTAAACCTTTAATCTAAAGGTTAAAATCAAAAGTTTGATTTTAACGCTTTAAAACTTTATTATAAAACTTTATTAAGAGTAGATCCATTCCTGAAAGTCTACTCATATATTCAAACAAATAAAATTAAAAATAATAAATTGATTAATAACTAAAAAAAATTACATTATAACTAATAAAAATATAATTACATTAGATTATATGCATTGCTATTTGGGATCATCCATAAAATATGTCTCCTTCTTAGAGAAAGACCTCCATGTAAATTCAATATCTAACAATAAATGCAATAGTTTTACGTTTCCAGTTGGATTTTAATAAGATGAGAAGGAAAAATTGCTATTAAAAAGAAATTTCTAGACGCCTAGTAGAAGAAGGCCTTTAATAACCAATATGGTTTGATGTTAAAATGAAGTATTGTTTTATAAGACATGTTTTAGAAACCTTAAGGTTAGTAAATATGTAGAGCCAGATTACCAGAGTTATTGTTAAAAAATATATCATATCAGGAGCCTAGGTTTCTCACAGTGAGGTTGTTCTAACAACATTGCTTCGCAGTTCTATAGTGTAAAAATAGGTTTTTGATCATAGACTTCAAATTAGAAAAGAGGAGGAGTCAAAAATGTCGTTTTTAAGAAGATCTTAATATAAATCCCATTAAAAATATAGACACATAAAAAATTACAATATCATGTTCTAAGTTCTTTTTTCTTTTGATTTTAGGTATTAGTCTTTTGTTTCTACAATGTATTTCATAAACACTTTTGATTTCAACTTTTATTCTTTGTGTTCTGATAAATTTAAGCTCTATTTCAAGAAATTTTTAAACTTGCAGATCGGAAAAGCACAATGAGAACACTTTTATTTCATAAAATTCTTCATAAAGTTTTCATTTTTTATTTTAGGATTCTGCATAAAGTCAAAACACAATGATAAAATTTTATTATTAAATGATCTATTATTTTGAATGATCTATCAATGAACTATCATTTATGGAATCACCCCCTGATTTTTTATAACTAAATTTTTATTAAAATAAAAGTTTAAAACTCATAAATAAATTTATAAAACCCATAAAATAGTAATAAAAATATAAAACTCTAAAAATAAAAATAAAAAAACATTAAACTCTAAAAGTAAAACATAAAAATATATATATTGTCATCATTTATATATTTTTATGTTTTACTTTTATGTTTTACAAAAAAAATTATCTAGTCGCAATCAAATACCCTAATTTTCATCATCCTATAAAGTGTATATGGCTTTTATATTAGTATAAAGTGTAACATGGCTCTAAAAGATTGTGACATTGTTATTGAACCATTTAACATGTAATAGATATACAATAAACTATTTCCTATGCAATCGCCTCTACCTAATTCTCTTTAATTTTTTTTTTTTTTCTAATTTTCTTTATTTTGCTTTAATGCATATTCAATATCTCTATCTTCTTAAATTCTATGCTTAAAAAATTCTGTTACACAAAGCTCTCCTAGGACTTTTTCTACTTCTTCTCTTCTTTCCTAGTTGTTAAACCTCTATCCATTTTTTTTTCTCTTCTTTTTATCTGTTCTATTTTTTTTTTTTTTTTTTTGATATTATGATTCTTATATTTTTATTTTGCATTTTTATTTATGATAATCACTATTTGCTACAAATGTTTTATTTTGATTATAGTAGTAAAATATATATAGATTATACTGCTTTATATTACTGTATTTAATATTATTACTAATATTATTATTAATATTTATTTCTATTATTATTAATAATATTTATTATTATTACTTATTTTTAATATTATTATACTATTATTTATACCATTATAGGTCTTTACACGTCATCAGTTTATAACTGTTTGTAATTGTCCTGCACGATTGTATATATACAGTATTATTAAAGTGAAAATATATTGATTTGATTTGATTTAATTTTGTCCTTGTCATTGACACTTTTTCAATTTGTTTTTTTGTTACAGCATGTAAACTTAAAAAAGCTTGAAAACATATCTGCATTAAATCAGAACTAGGGTTTGCAAAAACCCAGAATATTTCTATTCCTGGGATTAAGGGTTGTATAATTAATTCCTTAAAATTCACAGGAAATCATGGCATTAGCATTTTATGCTTTAAAACTAAAACAAAAGTCATAATTTAATTAAGTATATTACAGTAAAATGAATAAAACTTGTATATAAAGTTATTTGTTTTGCTTGCAGAAAGCTCAAATTATCTAAACTACTATCACTTAAGCGACTTCTTATTTTATTGAAAAATAGTCCTGCAGAGGAAAATCCCTTTTCTGATTCTACGCTCTTTGGTTTAATCACTAATAAAAAATCATAAACTTTCTGAAGACTATCACCCCGAGTACAACCACTTTCAAACAATGACATTTCTTTAGAAGTAGGAATTTTGCCTAATCTTGATAAAGAATTTCTGAGCGCCGCTAAAAAACCTTTTTCTAGGGCTTCATTTAGTTGCTCACTAATAGTTTTTTGTTTTTTTTTCATTAATAGTTTTATTATCTGTGCTTTTCAGTATTTCATCATCTTATTGGCTTGCTAAATATTCAATGTTGTCCAAGTAATTTGTAGGGTGATTTAAATTTGTTACATTTAATCTACTTAGAAGCTTCAATATTATTTTTTTATTTTTAAAATTTGAAGATGTTTTAAAAACTTTATCTATGGGCATTAATTTGTTTGCATAACATGATATTTTTTTTATAACTTTTTTCTTTTCTGCTCTGCTTTTTGTCAAAATGTAAAAAAATAACTTACCTGCAGGGTAAGCCATATGAATAAGACTAAGAGCACAAAACATAAAGTTAATTTATAAAGTTAATTCTTATTTAGGTAAAGTTATACAGTACAGTACAATAACATATGACTAAGAACACAAGATATTTAACAAAACCATTATTAACTCAATTTTCAATTTTCATGACTTACCCCCCCCCCTCCTTTAGCATCACCCAATTCATTTAAATTTTCAATTGCAAAAAAAAAGTTTTTTTACTACACACTAAAATTCATGAAATCAAAAAAATATTGCTCATTTCACAAATTTATTATTATTATTATTATTATTATTATTATTATTATTATTATTATTATATATATATATATTTTTTATATAAAAGTATACAATTAGAAACTTGTGCGTGTGTGTGTGTGTGTGTGTGTGTGTGTGTGTGTGTGTGTGAAGAATTTTAAAATAAGATCAAAAGATTACAGGTAAAATTATCCTTCAAAAGAGTTAGAGTTTTGTTGATAGATAAAAAAAAAAACAGAAATAGAAAACTGCAATATTTAACAATTACTAAGCAACATTAAGAGGAACAAATTGAGAAAACTTTTATCTTTTATATTATAACAAAAAATCAGGATTTTTACTGTTTTAAAAATATCAGGATTCTTACAATTCAGCAAACATAATTGAAACTTCGTATCCAAATAAATGTGCATAAGAAATTGCACTTATAAGTTTTTAAATATATTTCATCAAGAAATATAATGCATTTCTTCTTTACGATAGAGTAGTTACTCCTATTAGAAGCTATTACTCCTATTAAAAGATTTCTCCCTTTCTTAATCATTAGACATTATGTTTCTGAAAATCAAATGTTTAAAAAGTTCTAAGCAAATCAGAAACCAATTAAGGATTCAATGGATAAGTAAAAGTTTATAAAGTTGCAGTTAAAGGAACATATTTAGAAAAACAGGTTGAAGAAACTGTTCAATTTTGTTAACACGCACTTGCCAATTTAGTCTTTCCAAGAGGTGATAATAAAAAACTAGTCAAACTTACCCTATAAAAATTTTACATATTGAGATGTAGGCCTAAAATAATGTTACATATTCATACAGAACATTTTACATCTCTCCTGAATTTTTTTTTATATAAAGAATAATTCAAAATCAACACTTAAGTTAAAACATAATTTTAGTGCTAAAAAGTTAGTAAAAGTAAAGTTAGGTAAATAATTTATTTACATTTATATACTTGTTTAAATAATATTTACTATAGTTATGTATTATATACTCAGTGTAATTAACCAACTACACCTAGTGGTCCAGTAGTTTTATCTCAACTGGTTTTCCTTGTCACTAAAAAAAAAAAAGCGACTTTATAAATCGCTTTAGAAGGTGAATTACTACTATACATATATATAGAGAAAAATATAAATAAAAATATTTATTTATATTTTAAGTCGATGTAGCAGTATTCCTCACATGATTTAACTATTTGTAAGTCGATGTTGCGGCACTCGTTGCATGTACTATTTGTCAATTGATGTAGAAATACTCCTTTAATGTTCAACCTATTTGTCAATCAATGTATGTAAATAGTAAAAAAAATAAAACACTCATAAAATATTTTTCTTAAAAAAAATAAAAATCATTCTGATCTATAAAGTTGCTTCATTATGTTAAATTGCTTATTCTATCTTCTGATCTATAAATGATTTATATGCTGATCTATAAAATAATATTTAAAATTTATCTGCTAATCTAATTGATGATTTCTTTAAAAGTGATTTTTGAAAAATTATAAAATTTATTTAGTTTATATATACTTTATATATATTTTATTATATATATATATATTTTATTATATATATATATATATATA